TGATTAATTCATCCCATGTTGTTCCTTTGATAGGAACATCGTCGAAATATCCAAGGCACTCATTATATTGTAGTCCTTGTAAAACTTTATTAACTAAGCGTTGAAAAGCGAAAGGGGCTCCTGAGAGTCCCATGGGTAATCTTTTAAATTGATACTTTCCATCGGGAGTAACGAAGGCAGTTTTTGGTCGTTCATCTGGATGTAATTCAATTTGAAAATAGCCTTGAGCTAAATCAAACATGTTGAAATATCTTGAGTCTTTGACTGCTTCCAGGCAGTCATCTATGCGAGGCATAGGAAATGGGGGTATCTTAGTGATGTTATTCACTTTTCGATAATCCACTACTAATCGGTGAGATCCATCGGATTTATCCACCAGTAGGGCTGGACTTGCTCCATCAGAAGTTGAGTATTCAATAATGTCTGCATCAAACAGATCATTAATTACTTTTTCAAAAGCTTGACGCTTAAAAGCTGAGCAGGGGTATGGCTTCTGATATGGAATCATTTGATTTCCAATATTAATTGAGAAGGGGCAAATCTCATGAGAAACTAGACCAAGATCATTGGCATCCTTTGAAAATACATTTTCGTATTGGAGTAGAACGGAAGTCATTTCTTCGACTTGATGTGAAGGTAACTTGGGGTTAAACCTTCTTAATAGGCGCTCCTTAAGAGTCAAATTTGGCATCACTTTACCAAGTAGAAAGATGGGGATGATTTTCTCAATTTCTTCTTCTTGAAGAATCTCTTCCACTTTAGGAAGTTCAGGTTTTAATTCACTGATGAGACTACATTCAGTCACAATAGTCTCAGGTATTTTGAGTTCTTTTGGACACAAAAGTTTAGCACATTCATTCTCATTATGAGTAATGATTTTAGTTTTAATTGTCTTTTCACTTGGAGCACTTGGCTTTTGATGAACAATTGATTTGTTTATCAATTTCGGTGGTTCATCTTTTTCTTCAACGTATTCGGCAATGGCACGATTCCTTGGGTTTAAAGGAGGTGCTTTGTTGAGAATTAATTGTGTTTCTGTTGGTTTACAGAATCTCACATTGAAAGTTGGGGTAAATGGAGGTCCATCTTCACGATCTTTTACAATTAAATTGTAACCCTCACCATTCGAATCTATTTTCATGTAGAATAGGTGAGCAAAGACATTTCCAAACAAGAGTTTTGGAGTAAAGTTCTTAGCAACTTGAACTTTAATTAAACGCGCGTCATCCATTGACGGGTGTTTTACGATCGCATAGGCACAACCGATTACTTCCAATAGGCAATCTTCAACTACCTGTAGTTTTTATTAGATTCCATTAAATCAGCTCCAAGCTGTTGAGCTAGTTCACTGTCGATGACAGTAGTTTGAGCTCCTGTATCTACAAGCACTTTTCCAGAGGTGATGTATTTTTTATCAGGAGAAAACAATTTTACCAATACATTTGGTGTATCACTTAAATCAGAACCGCTGACATTTGTCAGGTTTGGTGGATCGGGAATTGTAAAACAAACGGCGACATCAGCACCTTTTCTTACTGATTCAACATCATTTCTCGATGCTGGTTTAGGTTGATCCTTTTTATCTTCATCTTTCTGATGAGATTTATGTTGATTACTCTTTTTTCGAGGACATTGATTTGCATAATGATCATTTGATTCACAAATGAAACATTTTGGTTTCTTACCTTCTTCAGAAGGTTTTTGTTGTCCAGTTGAATTTGGATTTGATTGATCAGAACGATTGCGATGATGATGAGAATGATGATTTGGCCGTTGATCTCGTTGATCTTTCTTGAATTGAGCTTTTTTCCTTTCTTGGTACTCTTTATTCTTTGCTTGTTGCTCATGGTATTGGACTATTAAAGCTTCGGTGATGTCTTCGATGCTTTTATTAGCTCGTTGACGAAGAATTTCTCTTTTAATGTCATCTTGAAGATGATTGAGAATGAATACCAACATGGTATCATCGTTGACTTTTCCTTGACTTTTGGTCACAAGTCTTTTCACTTTAGCAATATAATCACTTGGCGGTTCATCTAGTTTATAGTTGAGTCGCATGAGTTCTTGTAAAGCATTAGCTTTACTGGTTGAACTTAAAGTTTTACCATAGAGTTCCTTCACATATTCACGATATGAAGTAATGTCTGGATCAATCAGATCGGCAAGGTGAGCAATTTCATAAGCAAGACCTTTTCTCAGGCTTCTGAGTTTTGTAGTATCATCTGCATCTTCTAATGCTAAACGTCTTTCGGTTTTGTATAACCATTCATAAGGATCTTCTCCTCTCCTAAATTCTGTTACTACTGGATCTTGGTAGAGTCTAATCTGTTGAAACGGATTAGCTGAAAAGTTTAGAAATTCCGGTTGATTCGGATTCTGATTAGGTACATTCATTGTACTTTGATGTCTATCTCTAATAGGTTCATCAATCATTAGTTCATCAAGCTCTTCTTGGCTTGTTTCTAATCTCACTCGCTTGGGACGAGCTACTTCATCTATCAATGTAGAATTTTGAGGTTCTGAGGGGCTCAGCAATTGGATGAACTTCTCAATAGTTCTTCTTATACCAATGCTTACATTTAGTTGTTCTAAATCTTCAGGTTTGCAATTTCGAAATGAATCTAGAGTCCGTCCTAGCTTTCTTACAATTTCCTGAATGTCTCTTTCAGTTAGACCTGATCGTCTTAACTGACTTACCCAGTCTGGAATCTCATAATTAGAGATTTCAGCTACGTTTATCTCATTTATCTCTTCAAGAGATAAATTTATTCCCTCAATATTAAGATGAGTTACTACACAGTCTTTAAACCGTTGAGAGGTTAAGCTTCTGAAAGGTACTCTTACCGTCCAATTGTCCAATATCGCGGACATTTCTTCAATGGATAATTCTTCAATTGTTCTGGTTTCTTCCTCATTATCTCCGGGATTTGCTCTTCTTCCTGAAGAGGCAACAGCACCGACCTTTCTAGGTCGTCCTACTCGTCTACCTGAGCGTAACGCCATGTCCGTCTGACAGTTACTATGATGAATTGGTTACCAAGCAATTCCAAATAAATTGGTTAGACAGTAGATTTCACAGAGAACGTATTCTCAAATTAATTGGAGATGAGAACAGACACAATTAACTCTAATGATCACACACAAAAGAGGTTAAAGTTGAAATAGAATTTCACAAATTTCCAAAGAGAATTTTCTTCAATAGAAGAACACAAACACACACAAAATGAATTTGTAAGAAGCAAAGCAAAAGATTTTATATCTTTTCTCTCAAGCTGATTAAAGCTAAAACTGTTAGAGGTGATTAAGAGGTAAAATTAAAATGACAAAATAGGTCCTAGCAGGCTCGCCATTTTGAAGGGTTGGATACGGCAATAAATACTAAGAGAAGGTGAGTTCGGTTAGATTTAGGCTTTCCCCTCTACATTTGTTTTGTGTTTGGGCACGACCTACTTTGCTTCAATTAATTTGAAACACACTTAATCAATTAACTCACTTTGAAGGTGATAAAGACACTTATTCAATTTAAACATCAAGTTTATATTTTATTGAACAAAATAAGAAAGATGATAAAACGGAGAAGTCAAGACTAAACTGGTCAAGACAAGGGTTGGGGTGAGACTCCTTACTAAGAGGAGGATTGATTGGCTTTTTATAGCAAAGACCAATGTAGAGACAAAAGAGGAAATGGAAATGATAAAGGCAAAGGCTTAAAGTTGCAATGGGAAAAGTAAAAGAAGATGATAAATAGTTGAGCTATGGCTTGAAGGTGATTCTCACGGTCAAGATCACTTAGAAAGAGTGACTTTCAGTTAATCTGAATAATGAGCTCGAAAGCTTAGCAAAGAAAAGAATTAGTAAAATTTTAGAAATAAAGAAAATTCAAAATTGGGGATTAACATAGAGATTAAATGAGTCTAATTAGAGTAGAATTGATTTCAAGGTTTTAATCTTGAGAATCACAATAAAGGGGCTGAGGAGGCTAATTTACTACCCAACATAATCTAAACCAGAATAGAACAGATAAAAAAAATCGAACTTTTCTCTGTCGATTTTCTCATAAAAGTCTCCCTTTCTCCTTAAAGCTAATCACCAGCCACCTAATTGTAATTAATCAACAATCTTAGTAACGACTCTCACAATAATCACCCTGAAAACCGCTCATTGTTTCATATTACAATCAATCTCGGACCCTCGTTATAATTATCATTGTAATTATAATCAATAAGACAATAATTATAATGAATAACATTAAATTTATGTTGAATCACCAGAATCATGAGAAATCAGAGTAACATGAAAAAAAAAGACAGAATAAAATTATTCAACCAATAGTTAATATTACATAGACAATTGTTATGCTTCATTCAGTTGATCATATCATTTATTGATAACAATAATATGATGACAAAGAAGATGAGAGAGACAAAAATAAACCTAATATTATTTATCATCATCGTAACAGCAAAAAAATCAACAATTGAATGAGTATTTATATATAGTGAACATGATGAAAAATCAACGATATGAGAAAGTTGAATTAACCGAAAACAAAAATGATCTTTTTAAATCATATAATCAATTGTTTTCCCTTTTCTTTTTTTTTCATCATCATGATTAACCATGATTATTATATATTCTGGTTCCTGAATTGTTATCATCTTAATCATTTTAATCATTATCAATTGACGTTTCTCTCTAATTTACTGATTACGTGTTTGTTTGTTTTCATTTTCTGATAATGATATTAGATTATTGTTCCTCTACTTAAATTGTGTGATTGTAAATGTCAATGTCAATCAGATAATTTAGATTTTTTTAAATTCTTGGTAAACTGAATTAATGTTTGATTGGATAAATAATTAAGTTTTTCCCTTTTTTATCTATTGATTTCAAATAATCATTAGACCGGCTCTTGGTCTCTCGGTTAGGCCATTGAATTTACTTGATTGTCAGTTAATTGGCGTTTAAATTGTTTAAATTTGATTAGATTATCGTCTTACCTTATTTTGCTTGATTACTGTGATTTCCTGTTGTTTTTTTGTTGTAATTGATTACGTTGGTTAAATATGATGATTTATATTTGATTTTGGTAATTGTAGTGATCGGTTATTGTTGATGTTTAATTGTTGATTAATTTACAGGGTGGAGACACAATTTAATCCTTGTTGATTATGAGTTAATGGTTTTCAATGATCAGCAACAGTAAGACAATAGATTTAATCATTTGGATGAATTGAATTAAAATTAGCTTTGGACGATCAATTGGCGATGGGAATTTTTAATTGTTGTTGATTGGAAATTTAAAAATTTAACACTGAATCAATTAATTGTTTACAATCTAAATCTTAATATATCCAGTAGATAGAATCATTAATCCATTATAATTAACTTGATTAACAACATTAATAAACATAATAATACACATTGAACATTTAATTAGCACATTTAATTGTAAACAATGATCGTTTAATTGATTGATTTATAACCACAACCCAATCAACATAACAATTTAAACTGAATTGTATTTATAAACAAGACATTCACATACAATACAAATAAAAGACAATCAAAAAAAAGTAAGAAATAAAAATTAACTCAAATTAACACTTGAACAATTTATGATTAAAATTGATGAGGTTGTGATTTGATTTGATTGTTATGGTTAATAGTTGATGCAGATTATTTTGAAGATTTGATTGTGTGTGATGATTATGATGATAAATTAAATAACACTGATTGTAAATTGTTTATTTCCTTTTAAGTGTTAATTAGAACAATTAATTTCGATTAGTAGAAAAAAAAAACTTTCGACTTGAATTATGTTCTATGTTGAGTTTTCCTTTACAACTAAACTTTGGTAAGAAAAGTTTAGTTCAACAACGAATCATCAATGTTACATGCGCATCGTTATTATTATCATCAATTTATCATCATTTTCTATCATCATGATTATCATCTTAATCATTTTCCTTATTCAAATAGAGAAAGTTAATTGTTCTAGTTGGTTAATTTTTCTTTACAACAATTAACGAATCACTTTATCTTATTAACCTTCCGGTTCGAGAAAATAATTTAACAATAGTAACTTTTTACTCATTGAGATTTTCTGTTTTGTTTTATTCTCAATGAAAATAATTAATTGATTCTCAGTAAATTGGTAAAACAATTAAGCTTCTAATTTAACTGAAATTAAAATCGATAGTAAATTTAATTATGTTGTAAAAATATCGTTGGACATTTGGGAGTAACAATTGACAGATATCAATGATTTCTTTTTATTTTCGGTTATCGATTAGGCCTATTAGGGAAAATAAATAAATTACAGTTAATTATAATAGTAATACAATTGAAAAGGAAATCAACAAAATGATTAAAAACATTAAAAGTTAATTAATTAAACATTAATAACAACTTAACGAGCTCCTAATTGTTTTATTGTTTTTTTTTCAATACAATTTAAAAAATAATTGTTATCGAAACTTTTTATGGCCAGAATAACAATAATAAGCCTTTTCTTTTGATTGCCTTACAAATCATGAGTTTCTCTTGAGTTAAGATAAATTTTTAATTGTAATTAAAGAGAAAGTTAATTAAATTGTAATTCACAATCGATTTGAATGAACCGGTTGATTCTTTCTCGCTGGTGACATCTGGTGGTTGAAAAGAAAAAGAAAAATCGATAGAAATCGATTAGATCGATTAGATCGACCCTTTTTTCATGTGTTTATTAAAATGAATTTGGAAGATTTAATTTAATTTCTGTCTTTTTACTAGTTAATTTTTTTATTCTTTCGCATTAATTGATTAATTTATCGTCATCATAATTTGGATTTCAAATGGAGGAAGAGGAAATCGTTAGTGAACCGGCACAGGTAAAGATCTTTTTGTTTTTGTTCTATTATGTTTTCTTCTCATTTATGGAAAGTGTCATGTGTTTGTTTGTCTATGGAAAATTAATCATTGTGACTTTTTTTGTTTGTTTTTCAGGGTAAAACTGGTCTGATATATTTCAGTTATATTCCACCTGGAATGGATGTTAGAAGAATTCGGGAAACATTCAGTCAATTTGGTGAAGTTGGGCGAATCTATCTCGAGAAAGATTCTGCTACCAAAAAGCTTGGTAAAAAGACTAAATTCCATCGTTACTCTGAGGGTTGGTTGGAATTTAAAAAGAAAAAAATTGCCAAAAGAGTCGCTGAAATGCTTAATGGTCAACAGGTTGGTGGTAAACGAAAAAATGTCTACTTTGATTGTATTTGGTCAATCAAATATCTTCACAGGTAAAGTTTACAGATTGTTTTTTTTCAAGAGATCAAATGTTGAGCTTTTATCAATTTAGTTTGACATTCTTTTTGTGTCTTAAATTTATGATTACAGATTCAAATGGCACCATTTAAAGGAGACAATTATTCAAGAGAGAGTTTTGAATGAGCAACGCTTACGTTTCGAGTTGGATCAAGCTCGAAAAGAGACCAATTTTTACCTTGAACAGTCTGAGAAACGGAAAAAGAGAAAGTCAGATAATTCCAATGGAATCAATGAAAGTCAAATGATGGAAAGACAAAAAGAAACAGATGAAACTATTAGAAATCAAAAGCAAACTCCGGATGTTGATCTTGACCTATTGAAGCGTATTTTCAATTAGTTAATCATATTCAGAGTAATTAAGAAAAACCTTATTCGATTTATGATTATTTCTACTCTTTTATTCGTGAATTTTGTGAGACTATATTCAAAACCAGTCTAACATCCAATTCGTTTATCGTTTTAATTATTGGGTCAAGATCATTACCGAAATTGCAAAACTTTTTCTCCGCTATCGGAAGCATATAAGTGATTCAATTATTAAGCCGTTAAACATTTAAGGAGGAAAAGAGTTGAACAATTATAATTATTGTTCATATTCAGCTGATAATTTGTAAATATACGATAATAAAAATACCGATCGTTTTATTTTTTGTAATTAAATCATTTCTCAACCGTTTTCATTATAATTAACCTTCATTTACGACTATTTATTATTTTATTAATACTTTCTCTTTAACTGTATTTCCTGATTCTTTACTTAGTAAATTGATAAATAATTTTGGTCAATTATCGAATTAAACTTCGAATATGTTCAAGTTGATTTAATATAAGAAGCATTAAATATCAATTTTCACAGGTCTTTTAAATTGTTGCTCAATTGTTTGATAGTTTCAAGTATAATATATGAAGGTGTGTGTGTGTATACAGTTATGTGTTGGTGTAGTTGTGTATGTGTGTGTGTATTTTGTGTGTGCTCCAAAGCTTCACGTTCATTTTTTATGTAAAAAGGAGCAAAGAGACGATTAAGTTCCCCGAAAGTTGTTGTGTTTTGGATGAGAGCAACAAAAAAAGAAGAAGGAGAAATAAAATAAACAAAATCTATCTAAATCTAATCTATCCTTAAACACCTTCATCCATAAGTTCACCGCCATCGTTATTTAAATCGTTATTTGGAACATAATCTTCGTCCGCATCATCATCATCTTCGTCTTCCATTGAAGAAGAATGGGATTCACGATGAAGGTGAGATCGAGGCCTTAATGAACTTTCCGAGCTCTCATTGACTAAATTTGAATTGTATGTTTCATCTCCAGAGTCTAGACAAACAACAACCTCGTCATCATCATTGGCATATTGTTTATCGATGACCTCTTTGATTTGATTGTTGGCTCCTTTAGGGTCCAAATCCATAGCCCAAGAGAAATTCATTAGCGCTAAATGCGTATTACCTAAACGTTTGTGGACCTAATTATTAAAAAGTGAGAAAAAAATTTAATTAATTATCATAATGGTGTCATCAAGTGAAATCCATCACAACTGAATGGAAACATAAAGGCAGTGGTAAATGTTGATTGAAGACAATTTAATGTTAGATTGATGATACATTTGCTTCAGTGTTAGACAAATTATCATCCAATGTATTTAGGGTTCAAATCTTGACAATCAAATCAAGACACTTTTAGGACTAAATTAGATTTGTACAAGTTTAAATAGATTTCTCAGAGGAAATACAACTGTATATGAAAATAGAATTGATAAGCTGAATCAGCTGATGTCACTCACTTATCAAAAACAGTTGTTATTTCAAAAGATAACAAATGAAAACAAATTTAATCAGAAACTATCAACCTATGAATGAAAGTGAGTTTATCAATAAAACGACTCCATCATATAACAGATGATTAGTAAATCAGCAAAAATCTATTAGTAGCTAGAGCATGATAGCAATAAGTTTATCTGATCTGAACTTTGATTAGAAGACTCTAGATGGATCATCTATCCGAGTAATATACAAACACTTAAGACTGAAAGTTTGCATGGATAAGGTCAATAAGGAAAAACAAAAGCTTAATTAATGATAAAAATTGGATCAATCGAAACTCGAGATGAACTAATTATTGAAAGTTGTTAAAAAAGCTATTAAATATATATTTTAGAATAAAAGACTTGACTAATTCTAAAAGAAAATCTCTTTTTCATTAAAGTAAATACATATGAAGTTTGCAACACTTTTCTCTCACACCAAATACAATTCATTGTACTTTCGGTGGAAACTAATTTGCATATGCAACAAGAAAAGTTGACAAGCTACATTTCACTATTTCAATCTAATTATCCAGAGTGATAATGAAAAAGGGCGAGAGTGCAAAAAGAAGTCACCCAGCAAATGGAATTGGGAAGATAATTGGAACTTAATCAAAGAATGAAAGCGAAAATTGCCACTTACCTTTCCAATTAAAAAGTATACCAATGATTCCTTTGGCACAATTTGCTTCAATTCTTCTAATTCATGCAACGCCAATTGGTGTTTTTCCATTGAAAAATATATGGATGCTCTATGAAATTTACAAAGTGCATTTTTGGGATCCATTTCGATGGCTTTATTCAAAGTTGTCAAAGCACTTTCAGTCTTTTTCAAAGCATTTTGAACTACTCCAATGTGACACAAAAGAACTGGTGAACATGATGATATTGAAAGAGCTTTTCGATAATGTAACTCTGCGAGTTGGAATTTTTCTTGTTTATAATAGATCATTCCGATGCCATACCAAGCATTATAGTGCCTTGCATCGATTCGTATCGCATTTCGGAAACAGGCCATGGCATGATCCATTTCTTCAGTGAGCACAAGTTCATGTCCCAAAAGAGTATAAGCATAAGCAAAGTCGGGATCCACTTGAATAGCCCGTTGTAAGAATTTTATAGCTGTCTCGTGTTCCTTTTGAAGACCAAAACAGTTGCCCGCAACACACCATGTTTGTGGAGCATTTTTGTCAAACTCAATACATTCTTGAGCTAACATTGATAATTTTATTTCTCTCTGTAAATGCCAAAGAGCAGTACTATAATACTCTGTACCCTGAAGTCGATGTGGTTCAACCTTGTGAGCTTCTTCGAAATATTTAACAGCTTCTTCATATTTGGACATTTCAAAGTAAGCTCGTCCAATTCCACTTAGTACCCATCCAGTGTTGAATTGTTTCTGAGGCAAATTCATTAAAATTTTGATGGCTTTGGTACAATGGAATTGTCCTAGGCAAAGGGATGCGTTGGCGAGATCAACCAATAGATTAAGTAAACCCTCAGCGGACGCACGTTGCATCTTTAATCCGGCTTGTTTAACTTCCTCGGAGATGAAACCTGACTGTTGATTTGACTTTATGGGTTCAGCTTTATTCAACTCATTGAGCTCCATTTCTTTTTGCTGTAATGTAGATGAAGAACTAGTTATATTGTTTGATGAATTAGTTTGTTTTCTCGTCTTTTTTGTAGGAGTCTTTGAACTGGTTGCTCTTTTATTATTTTCTTGATTGATACTCCTTGGTGTTGATTTACTATTTTCTTTCACAGAAGAAGAGCTATTGAATATTCTGGATGAGCGTCTCAATCCAAGACCTGTTGTTCCAAGTGTTGATTGATTAGTTACTGTAGAAGGAGCTTGAAATCCTAATTCTCCTGGTTGAGTATTTATATGCGCTGATTGGCTAAAGATTACTGGTCTACTAACATTATTACGTGTGGTCACTCCTTGGATTGCATGACTTCGACGGGTCTGAGGTTTCTTGGCAGGAGCTCGAGTTATTCTTTCACTTTGCATGTTTGCATTACGAATTTCTGAAGTGTCAATATTTTCATTTGGTCCAAGAGTACAAAGATGTATGGGTGGGGTAGAATCTATTAATGGAAATACACCAAAACTCAATCTGGAAGCGGTGCCACTCGGTGTCTCGGCTCTTTTCACAGTGGTAGGAGAAATTCTTTCAGAGGAAACATTTGCACTCCGTCTAGTAATCTTGGTCAGTGGCTGAGCCTTTTGAGGAGCGAGACAAGTTGTTACCCATGAATTAGATTCTGGTGTAATAACGTCAATGGTTCCGTTATCATTTGTCGGCTTTATCAGGGCAAAAGGTGAGTGGATTTCGACAGGCTGATTGAGCTCTTTGATTATGGGAACTGTCACTTGGCTACCTCCAGTTCCTTGACTAGTGTTGTCAAAACTTCCTTTAACATTGCTATTCCATAAAGTAACCAAAGGATTATTCCCATGACACAGAGAAAAGTCTATATTATTTATATTGAATATTTTACTTGAATCTGGTTTAGCACCAAGTTTAACCAGATTTTCAAACGATGACCACAGAAAAGGATTGAATTTTAAACTTTTTAGATAATAGTCGACAGCCTTTTCGTATCGTTCCGTTTTACTACAAATTAAAGCCAACATTTGAGCTGCGAATGCGGCACTTTTACCAAATTCTTGTATAATGTCTTCTGATGAGAGGCCACCTTTACAGCTGCCACTTTTCTCCAAACAGTTAAATTTACCCAATAAAGCCTCTTCGGCTTCACCATATTTTTTAAGATCACAGCAACATCGGGCCAGTAATAAACGACATTCAGATGATTTGAAGCTCTTGTTTGAAAGTATAGAATAAGCAGCAACTTGTTTTCCTGCTCGGTAATAGCAAGTCGCTAAAAGGTAGAGAGATTCCTCGGAAGCAACTGCATCATATTCACATTAAATGATGGGCAACGTTGTTGTAAAATTGGTGATGATAGGGGTTATTTCCATGATGATGATGATGAATGTTAGAGGTTAACCATTTCAAGTTGAACAAGTATACCAATCCAGGAAAGAGAGAGAGAGAGAGAGAGAGAGAGAGCAGAGAGAAGATAGAAGAAAGAAGAAGAAAGAGAAGAAAGAAGAGAGAAAGAGGAGAGAAAGAGAAAAAGAAGCCAAACAATTCAGATTAGTAAATGAATAGGAAGGCAGGACAAAAATTTGATTGAGAAAAAATAAAACAAAAGATGATTATAATATGTATTTAAATTATTATCATAGATTGAGTTTTCAATACGTATTAAAAACTTACCTTCAGCATTCAATCTTTCAGCTAAAAATATTGCATCCTTGTAAGAATAGTGGTTCAGTATGAACCAGATAGTTGCCTGAATAGAGACAGACAGAAAATGAGAAATATCATTAGATGTTATCAATAAGCAATAAACAAAAAAGCGTAGATCCAATTAGTTAAATACATTACATAGGCAATAATTGGAATTAGAAATAAAGAAATATATCGAGTAAATAACAAATATAACAAGAAAATGGAATAAGGTTAAGGCTTTGAATGGAGAATGACACAAACAATGGAAAAGGCCAAAAAGACGTTGAGATAAACCTTCCTCCATTTTTTTTCAAATCTAATTCCTCATCAATGTCTAATATTAAATTGATGAGAAATGAAAAGAGAATATCCTGGGAAACATTTGCTACCAGTGAAACATTTAATCAACTTCCATGAAGAGAAAAATTAAACCAAATAAGAAAAAGAAACAAATAAAGGCAAAGGAAAAGCTAATATAATGTATAGACATAATAAAGAGATGAGAGATGAGAAGAAGGAGAGAAAGAGAACTATTTTGTTCCAAGAGAAATTAATCTTTTCTCTTACCTGTACCGGCTCTTGAATAATCATCTCCACCATTCGGATCTAAAATTGTGGCGAAGATCAAATTTATTAAATTGTAATTAAGATTTAGCTAAAAGAATAAAAAACGAACAAATAAACAATCAAAAAAACAGAATTGAGAATAAAATTATCACATCAGACCAAATGAACAACATTTTCTGTCTCTTTTCAAAGAGAGTCTTTCGTTTCTCTCTCTCCTCCTCTTTCTCTCTTTCATCACATTTGAAAAAAACGGTTACTTAGATCAATAGATGTCTCTAGTTCTCAAGAACAACTAGAAACCGGTTTATTCAAATAAAAGAAAAATTTTCTTTTGGAATTTCAATTTTTCCAATTTATTTGGTTTTTAGAACATTTTTTTGGTTAGTGTTTCCTTTTTCCATTTTTCTCTTTTTCTTTTTGGGTTTAACTCTTTCTTAAATATTCTTTTTTCTTTGATTTTTGGACTCAATCCTTATTTAAAACATTCTTTTTGATACTTGAGTATTCGGTAGAATCAATTGATTCGGTTGCTGCTTGAACATAACACCAAGTGCGACCTGCTCGACATCCTCCTCCACATTTTGGTGATTTACACTTGGGACAATTGAAATGACAACCAGGACAAACAACAGAGAGACAATCACATAGATCACGTCCTGACTCAATGTGAACACCTTTCTCATCGTAAACAGCTTTAGATGAATGGACAGGATTGAATGTTGATGTTGTTCCTTCTAATCGACGTTTTCGTCTTTCACGACGACTGTTCTCAGGCTGAAAATCTTCCATAAATCGACTTCTTCCAAGCTCTAATTCTCTTAAAATTCTATCACCAGCATTAGATGAATTACCAGCACTATTGACTGGACTGGTTCCATGAGAAGGCATATTTATACGCTTCTTTGGTAATCCTTGGCTTAAATCGCTCAACAATCAACCAATCCTTGTGGTTTTCCAAACAGACTAAACAAAAGCCATTTAATCAAAGCCCAAATTAAAAAGAGAATAATATAACAGCAATAAAGAAACAAATTACAACAATTGATGGAAAAAATTACCAACAAGTTAACTAAATCGTTGCTAGATAGCGCTGATTAAAAGCAACAATTTACCTTCCAGTTAATCTCTTTATGGTCCTTTTGGTTGACCATCTTCATCATCACCTTCATCTTCCCAACAATTAGTGGATAAAATATCTTAAAATCTATACGCTATTCAATAACAATCAATATTACCAATTGTTTTTCACTCCATCGAAATGATAAACATTCAGTAACTGAATTTCAGATCTGTGGTGTGAACTCCATCTAGCGATCAATAGATTAACTCATCTATCGTATTTTTTCATTGGTTAAACAATTTGTTTACTTTGTTTAATTTCATTATTTTCAAAGAGCAGAAAGAATCTGGTCAATTCAATTTTCTTTGTTTATCAAATAGAAATCAATCAAACCAGAAGGCGAGATGCTGTCGGAATACCTTCCTGACGAATGGTTAATCAAGTACTTTGATTAGAATTTACCAAAACAAAACTAAGATTTTGATTCCAAAGATGTCGCTCCAATTGAGATTCCAAAATACCTTTAAAGTTGTTCCAATAGCTCTAGATTAACTCATGAGAAAACATAATACAATTAGGAGAAAAATTTAAATATTAATTACCCAGAAGCGGAAATTTTTTTCGAGTGTTATCAGATTTTAAGGTAAGGCTCAAGATCGAGATCGAGATCGAGATCGAGATGGGTCAATCGATGTTGGTGGTTTAAATTAAGTTTAAGTTAACTAAAGTTTTTGGGGATAAGCTAATGTAAATAGACAAAATGAGACTTATGTTTTGAACCTTATTCTTAAATTAAAACTTAATTAAGTAAACTAATCAACCAGACAAAAAGAGAGAGAGAGCACCCAACAGATTTTCGTCATAAATTTTACGACGAAAAAATCTTTTCGGTGTCAACAGATGGAGTCACAAGTCAATTCGTAAAAAGCTTTTTGTTAGACTCGAGATTCTCGACTAATCTTCATAAGATTAACATTAAAACTTTTAGCCGATTTCTTGGCTCACAATCACAGAGAAACATGGAAGTGGACAAAATTATTCAATTAATTAATTGAAGTGTTTGCTTACATGATGTTAGGTTTTCACTATAAAGAGTCACTTCCAGCAAAAAAAAGGCCTGGAGGGCTCGAGACGATCAATTGTCACACAATTAGCGTAATGAGAGCTGTCGACAGTTAATTGACCTTGTCTACCATTTAGCGCTTTCATTTAATTGTCAAATGTAGCCTAACTTGTACTTGTGAAGTTCATGCGGTGTCGCATGATCTCAGATTGTCTAATCAACCAAAAAGCGAATAGTGATCTTTTAGCATCTATTTTTTCGTATTAATGTTACCAATAATCAAATCCGAAATCGTCAGCACATTGGCCTGACTTTGGTCTTTATGTGAACAAAGTTTCATGTTCCCAATAAGAATAATAAACTCAAAAAAAGACGAGCCTTGAATCGCCTTTGAACGGAAACTAAAACCTAACGCTAAACGAAGTTTTGATTGAACATCTTAATGAGTTAATTTCTTGAAGTGTTCTAACAATCTAAAAATTGTTCTATTGTATTTCTATTTATCACAAAAAGATAAACACGATCATAAAATGATGTGTATTGTCTTTGATTAAAATTTCAAAGCCCAAAGCCAAAGAATATTAAAGAGGAACTAAACCAAAAAAATTAATTCGAAAATTTTTTTTCTCTTTTCCTGTCAAAGAAAAGTGAATTTCGAAAATAAGTATGAGTAACTTAACAGGGATGAAAAAGAAGAGGAGTGATACTTTATTCTTCAGCCCTTTCAATACTCTTCTTCTTCTTCCTCCTCCTCCTCATCCTTTGATCTCATCTTTTTCTAATTCATCTTACTTTTCCTCATCTTCTTTTCTCTCTCATTCTTCCTCTTCTCTTTAAAAGAGTCAACATCAGCAAGATGATGTAAAGTAGAATAGTGTAACCTTGAAAAAAAGAGAAATAGTTTAGATGTAAAATGATGTGGTAAATGGAAACTCCATCCAATAACTTGGAGAAAATTATGTGAAGATAAAGGAAGATAAAGAGATGCATAGAAGATGATGATAGTAAAGATGAGAGATACTTCAATTATATAACATTTGCATGTCTCATCCTAAACATAATCAAGTGCACCTATGTCACCCTCATCCTCATCCTTCTCCTCCCACTCTATCTCTTTCTACTCCTTTCTAATTTACCTCATCATCTTTATCTTTTTAAACCCATTCGATCATCTGTATATCCAATCATCCCATTCAATAACATTTCACCCAAGACATCAATCACATTTCTCTCTCTCTCTCTTCTTCATCTTCATCCCTTTTTATATTATTTGTAGACACAATGGTTTATCTAATATGACAAAAATTTGCTTTTATATTATGTTTAACTCTATACCCCATCAGCACCAAGAGACCCAACACAGAGGATGATGAAAAGAGAAGAGGAAATAAAGAGAGAGAGAGAGAGAGAGAGAGAGAGAGAGAGAGAGTAATGATAAAGTTTTACATCATCAAACCCTTGAAAATTCAGATGAAGTGTAGGAGTTGAGGGAGAACTGAAACTAGAGTAAAAAATAATATTATGAATTAAAAAAGAGATAGAGTTACCCTTTACCTCCCTTTCTATTACTTCATCTTCATCTTCTGCTTTACTTGTTATTTCAACGTCAATTCCCAGTGAAGATACACAATATTATCGTTTTGTTTACTGATTGATGATTCAAATGAAACAAGGATAAAGATGAGGATGAAAAAGATGTCAACTTAATATTAGAACTTTTCCCCTTCTATTACTTCAACTATCTTTGATATGAAGTTGTTTAATCAATTCCTAACTCTTTACCCAAACAATCAACAACCTTAATCACAATGATAACAATTGAAAACTTATTTGAAATAATATTATCATTATAATATTACAATCAATTCCTAGTCAAGTGAGAGATAAACTGTATATATCGGCAAGTTGATTAACTTTAAATTATGTTGACAGTTAACTCATTTATCCTCACCAATCACCATACAACTAAATCAATTTCAATTCAATTTATAAGTACAATTAGAAAGTCAAGATTAAGAAGTGATCAAGATAAAATTGTAATCCCTTTGATAATCAAACTATCAAATCGAAGATATTAAGAAACAATTTAAAAAGTTAACTGTCAATTGTAACAATTTAATAACAACAGCAAAAAATATGATCAACTTTAAATCCCAATAAGATTAAGCTGATTACCATAAATATATTGCTATTAAAACAACATATTTGGGTAAATTTTATCATATTTTGTTTTCACCAGGATTTGAATTAAATTGTTACAATTGAATTGATGAAGTAATATTGATAAATATGTTAATTGTATTGCTGGCAATCAATGTGATATTTATGGTTAGTTTTTTTTTCATTAAGAAAAATTATCTCTCATCTCAAATTAATCTGTTAATCTGTCCACTTAATGGTGATTATCAATTTAATGGTCATCAACTTGTTGAACAAAATGATGAACAATATCATTATTGATTCTGGTCAATTATTTTCTCACTGGACATCAATCACCTCTCTCAAAAAGTAGACATGCATTGAAATGTAATGCAAATCTAATAAGCATCAGAGAAAATCATTGATGATAATTATCATCATTAAATTGATGATTAGGAAGATTGCACATCAAGAAATGAATTTCTCTCTCCCCCATCTAATTGAATACAAGTAGTAAACAGAGACCAGGTTATCTCATCATTAAGGTTATAATCTAATGATACAAAATGTGTAAGAATGATGATGTATGAAAAAAAAGGAAAAGGAAACAAAGGGAGAAAAAGATGAAAAAGAAAATTGTAATTTTCTTTATTGTGATCAGATTGATTCTTTAAAATTATGAAAAGCAAAGGATAAAAAGAAAGGAGGATAAACACGCGCTCGATGAATTTTACATAACTTTCATCTTATAGATTTTTCTTCGTCCTCATCCTCATCCTCATCTTCAACATTCATCATCATCAAGATAAAGTTGCTTTTCCCTGTCACAACTTTTTTCCTCTTCATCCTTTACTTTTTTTTATCTCTTTCTCTCTCTAGTTTTTTATAGTAACATATTAAGAATGAAAGATGATGAAGAAAAAATTGACAAATGACTTTTTATGCAAACACACACACTCACAGCATCATCATTATCCCTTGATAACTTTCCTTATCATCATTCTCATCCAATCATCACAACCCTTTGCACTAACATCGCATCAGTTTTTTTCCCCAAGTAAACATTGTTACTAAGTCTTCAGCCAAATGATCAAAGCAATATTGAAAAACATATCAACATAATAATGATAATTACAAGTAATCAACACTAATCACATTGAATTGTAAGCTAATTACATCAAAAACTGCAACATTAATTGTATGAAATCGTAAAAAAAAATCGGCGACAACAAAACATAAAGACAAACAATCAATACGACTATCGATCAATCGACTAATCAAGAGCAGCAATTAAATGGTAATCGAAGTAGCAACAATTTGAAAATCCAATTTCATTCGGTAAAATTGACTTATCCTTAATTCAATTAATATTGTTAAACTTTTTCCCTCTCATTTGCAAACATTAAATGATATGATTAGTTCAATTTTCAAAGCCATTATTATGATTACGATCACTTATCCAGGTAATTTGAATTGTTTACAAAAGCAGAATCATCATCAGTAGAAGCAGAAATTGTATTGTTATCAAAAAAAAAGAGAAAAAGAAAATAAATTTAATATGTAAAAGAAGAAAAAAAAAGTTCTTTTCACGCAAAAATCTCGTTTCCATTATAATGGTAACAATCATGAAGATAATAACATAGAGACATTGGTGCCAATGTTATTTTCTGCTTGGCATTATAATATTATAACAGAAATTGAATTTGAAATGAAGCAAAAAAGGATTGATGGATAAACAAGAAACATAATCAACAAGATAATCCATAAGGAGGTAACCAGTATTATTGCAATTCGAGTGGTACTAATCATGTTGTTACTATTTGATTTGATTTGACAATAATATCTTAACATAAGGGATCTGGTTTATATTAATATCAATCAGGTAAAAAAGTATTAACTTTGTAACACAAAATTGATGAGGATGAAAAGAGGATGCGGATAATATTTAGATTGTTGAGCATCTTCAGTTATGATTATCAGGATGAATTTTCATCTC